CAACTCAAGCCTTATCATTTGCGAACAGGTGATCATTTAATTGCATGTATAATCTGAGTTGGTTCATAAACACCTCTGCCTTCAAACCTTTGGTTCCATCAAATTTGTCAGGTGTTGACATTTTGGGTAGGCGTTGGCCTTGCACTGTTTGATTGACATACACGGGTTGTACAGGAGCAGGGTTCAGTGGAGCAGCAGTTTGAGCGGAAGCATTGGTGGGAGAGGTTTGCATCTTGTTCGATTCATAGTGTTGAAGCCGGATTTTGGCTTCCTGTTGCTTCTGAGTCTCATCCGCTAGGCTCGCTTTGACTTCAGCAAATTGAGTTGACAGTTGATTCAATTGCCGTAACACCTCAGCTAGGGTTGGTTCAGTTTGGGGTTCCATCACGTTCTCTTTGAGTTCGTGGAAGACCTCGCTGAATTGATTTGCATGGTTGCTCAACTCAGACGTCAAAGAACTTGGAACGTTAAAGTTTGGTGTGGTGAATATGATTCGGTGGTAGAATGAATAACTTTTCTTGCAGAGCTAGAACTACTTGATGTAATATGAATATCTTCAATTCTTTAGATTTGCTTGGATTGCGGAGTTACACTAACTTTAACTTTGATTCTAGTACAGATCTTGAACTTTATTTAACTTTAAACTTTTCTTTCTTCTTAACTTTTTGATTTGATTTTTCTTCTTACTTGATGCTTGAAACTTGATGTAGACTGTTGATCTTGAAAAAGACATTGCAATAAATTGGGACCTCTTGTGATGGTGAACAAGAGTCTATGAGCCAAGGTGTCCTGAGATAGTAATGAGATTGCAACGTGAAGAGTTTGGTAAAAACTCTGATCATCACAATATAGACTCGAGTGAGTCTCAGTACAAGCATAGTCTAATAGAGGCTCATACCACAAGTCCTTACGCCCATATAATTAGGTACACCCACAGGTCACGGTCAAACAGGTACACCCACAGGTCACGGTCAAACAGGTACACCCACAGCCTTAACTCCGATCTCCAGGTTTTGCAATAGCTCAGCATTGCACCTTGAACATCTTTTCCAACAACCTCTTTGCCAAACCTTGTAAATTTGAGATGAAGTCAAACCGTCACAAAAAAGCTAAGACTTCCACGGTCACAGCCCCTACTAGCCCCATACCCCAACTAACTTGAAGGAGTACAAGAGCAAAGAACGTTCAGCAAGCCCCAGATCAAGGTCAGACCTTTCTTAATACAATCACCACACCATTTATCAGAGACTTTGCTGTTGTTGACTTTGCCCTTTGGGGATGCCTTGACAGCTGTCGATCAAGATGAAGATCACCAGTCCAACTCTATAAATTGCAGAAGTAAGTCAAACTACTCACTTCAAAGCTTCAACCTTTTGGTGAAACTACCATTCCTAACATTGTGTGTTACACAATTTTGATAGATTCGGATTCCGATTCCGACACAGAGTCCAATGTATCTTTGGCAGAGGAACATGATCATGGTCTGTTATACTCTCACTGATCAATTCGACCCATTGGCTCACCCTTGTTATGTACCACAGATTCTGAAGATGAAGATGCAGAAGCAGTAGTACTAGTGCCAAAAAAGCACAGGAGATGCACCCAGATACCAACATCAAAGATAACCCAACCCACCAACCTTCCTCACCCCGAGCAACCTACAGAACCTCGAGGCTGGCTGGGATGCCTCTACCCAAGGAACCTCCAGTTACACCCACCCTTCAAAACTACCAAGAGCTTGCCGAAAGATGGAGTTCTACAGAGATTGAACATTACATGAAATGCACCAAATCTCTAGGCAACAACAGAATTCCGAACGATATTCTCATGGAAGCCCGGGCACTCAAAGAAGAACTGACAACACGCTTGCAAGTTTTGAGTCTAGCCAGTGGTGTATCCTACGACACGCTTAAATACAGAGTGTCAGTTACCTGCGTTCAAGTCTCCTATAGATTTTCTGATGATTCATTTCACTTTGTTCATCTATAAATCAGCCATTGGGCCATTCCTGAGGACGAAATCACCCCTTACCATCTCTTTTGCAAATTCAGCAAGGTTGCCACTGTAGACAACATCAGTAAGTCATATACGGGATACAAAGTTGAAATCCGGCCAAAAATCCGGCCGCGTGGCCAGATTTCCAAATTTCATTTTTTGCGGTAATTTGGAATCCGGACATGAGTCCGGATTCTCTCAACTTTGAATCCCCCGACTTCAAGTCCCATGCCAACTTTTCACTACACCCGGCTCACATCTATGTAGTCCCACATCCAATATCGACGACTCGCCCCCACTTCACATAGCAACAACTCGATACCATTGCAAAATAGCCCTCAAGAGGTCCATTCAAACAGCACGACATGCAAGAAAGGCGTTTGTTCAGAACACCCTAGACTCACTTGCAACATTTCAAGTCGATCTCGCCGGGATCAATTTCCTTACGAATGATCCAAGTCTTACGAATCCGTCAACTTGCTGTAACTGACAAGAATTGAAAGAAGGCAGCTTTCTTAATCAATCAAACTACAATCTAATCAAGCACAACATGAACTTTATGATAGATCAATCTCAAATCCTTCAATTTATGAAAAAGACCACCTCTTGAATTCAATTCTCATAAAGATTCCATATGGTTTGAATATTCTTAAACTTGTCTGTAATCTTGTTTGATTTGATTTGTGTGTGATGAGATTATACAAAGGATGTAATACAAACTTCCAGAGTTCCAAAAAGTGACTCTTTAACACAACTTCCAGATCAAGGATGTCTTTAAACTAAAATCGACTGCTGTTGTCTGCGAGTTTCATTCTTCCACAGTTTTTAAAGTCAACTTTTTGTTTCTCTCATCTTCTTTTTCCAACTTCTTTGTCAGAACCTAGAGTAAAAGAAAAAAGCGAGGTTAATGACCCTGTTCAAAGTCTATAGAGTTACTAGGTTTGGATTTAGCTGCAGTTTTTGACTTGGGAGTAGGGGAGGAAGCTTTGGTTTTGCCGGAGATCATTTTGCACCATAGGCTTTCGCTGGAGTTTGTTTTGAATCACAGTCGGGTGCATCTTCTGAGAAGAGTGGATCGTTTCCGTTGACAAAGGAGTGCCTGATTGCTCCACTTGGCACTTGACTCAGAGTGGAAGAAAGGATTTGTAGGGTGCCTGGTGTTGAATGGGAACGGAAATCTTGAGATTGAGGTGTTGAGTCGGATATGGAATTGAGGTGAGTCAAATTGGCCTGAGAACTGGCCAGTGATCTGTTGAATTTTCTTTTTGCCAAATTTCAACTCGTGGCCAGAAAAAAATGGGATCTGGAAATCTGGCCACGCGGCCAGATTTTTGGCCGGATTTCAACTTTGTATCCCGTAATAATTTGTCGACTCATTGTGTCGCATTGTCACTAACTCAAGACCTTGCTTTCAGTGCCCCAAATGGCATCCAAAACAGGCAATGAAGAAGAAGACACATTACATAATCAACGCATGGCAGCTTACAACAACATAGTATGTGACGCATGGCAAGCACTCAAATTGACTCCTGATGTTTGGATCTTCAACAAACGTCTGTTCGATCGTATCGCTCTTGCCATATGCAATGAACCAGACCATCTTGCAACGCACAAAGTCCTCAATGAGGAGGAACAACAATATCGAACCGACCTTGAGCGGCCGGTCAATGTTCCAAAAGTCAGAAAAGAACTTGCTCTCAGTCGTCACGCCACTCAGAGTCCTAAGTTCCAGCAGAAGGGTATATGCAAAATTGAATCCATTCACACCTCGGTATTCCCATCATTTGACTTCACTTGGCTATGTTGCAGTTGTTAACTTTTCAATGCATTTTTTATATAGCTTCAGATTGCGCACAAAACGTATGGCATGCATTTCCACCTCATGGCGGCGGCGTGGAACCCAACCACTACCAATCCTATGGCTGGCTGGACCAAAGAGTATAGCTCTGATCCGGTGTATCTCAGAACTTTCTCATTTGCCAATCAGCTCCTTGAGAGGTTTGATCAATCAGTCACAAGTCGCGATCCTGCTCACCCAAAGCCCAAAGCGAGTGGTAAGAGTTCAAACGGCCAACTTTGTAAGGACTTCACAACAAATTTGAACAACCTTGTTTGTAAGTCAGCCAAGGAGATATGTATCTATGTATGTCAAACACCTAACATGACCTCTTAATCGCCTCTGCCTTCCAGTGAACCACCTTAAGAATGTCAACCCTAAACAGATCATGCCCAGGGTACACATTCACCCCAAGACTAAAAATTGCGACATAGTTTTGCGATGAACAACCTTTCCAAATGGTATTTGGCTTGCAGTTCACCAGACGGCCGATTCAAAGGTCACTTCGGAAATGCTCACAACTGGCCCAGCTGCAATAATGAACGACAAAGCCTCGATGTACACTTGGAACAAAGATATCTTAGCCAGACGTTACACTGTAGTTGTGGTACCTTATGCACCGGTGCCCTGATCTGTTTCCATGGATGTCGCCATTCGGAGACTTTTAATCCTCATTTCCTTTTCCTACCTTCCCACTTACTACCTCCCATACACAAAAAACAAAATTGTCATTTACTACCTTCCCATACACATAAAATTTCATGAATGACAGACAAATTCAACTTCAATTGATGTAGATGCTACATCCCATCTTAGAACGCAGCGCCTGATGCATGCCATTTTGATGGCGTAGCAATGTGTACCATAACACATGACCTCGGAAAGGCTGGCCGCATCTCTTATATGTAGCTGAATACATGGTGCACCCAATCATGTGCAAGCAAGACAAGCACAGAGCCGGTGGCATGCGTTCCACCGGTAAACAACATCGATTCCATGTACTGGTCCCGGTACTGGTCCCGCAGCCGCATTATCATTGCCTTAACCTATGTACCGGTACCACACCCCATACATATGTACCGGTACTGTAGTCGCATTGTCACTGTACTAAATCTATTTCAAGTACCGGTACATAGGTTAAGGCGATGATAGCCGCAGTGGAACTATCATGGCCTTAACCTATGTAACAGTACCACACCGCATACTCATGTACCGGTACTGGAGTTGCATTGTCACTGCTTTAGACCTATGTACCGGTACCACAATTTTCACTTCGATAACGGTACTGCAGTCAAAATGTCACGAGTTTGCCACTAATACGCCCTTTTGACCTTCCTATGACATCACCAATCACTCATCATTATTCAAACCATCTTCCCTTATTCCAATTCAAGTACTCTCAGTTCCAAAAACGTAATTCAACCAACGTCAACAGCCAAACGATCAATTGACTGAACCATGCATCATCAAGGACCTAGTTTAGACATGAAAGCTTGTTACCTTTCTATTTCTTCGTTTCTATTTTCAATATTTGCAACTTTGCTCTAGGAATTGTAGCTCTTAGCCGGATCTTTGAGCTTGATTCCGTATGTATCTAAGGTACCCAGATGTGCACTTGGATACATGGAGCAAGACGTTGATTGAATGAGTGATCAAAGCTGACTTTGTGTCTCTCCACAATTTATGCCTCCAAACCGTGCCGGATCTCAAGGCTTCCATCAAACGATCTACCACCAACAATGGCTATGAGTCGGAGCTCACCGACTTGTCAGACCTTGAAGAATTTACACCGCTGAAAGGACTAAGGTACATTAATAGCTTTGCCAGTTTGAAAGCTAATCACATTGGCTAATGCTGCTACTCTTTTCTTGACTTAGTGTGACGTCTGTCACTTGTCCTGCACCCAAACCACCGCCCACAACTAAACCACCCGCTCACACAATCATACAACCTCCTGCAATCAAACAACCTTGTACAATGAAAGAAAAACCTGCCCAGCTCAAGCCAAAAGTTGCAAAGAAGACTAAAAACCGACACCCCACAACCAAACCAAAGCCTTGCACGCACGAGGTGCCTAAACACCTCAGACCAGATATCCCAGCACATCATTACCCTAGCTCCTATCACCGTCAATCTATGGTCGCAGACTACCTGCACAGCGTGTTTCAAAATGCCAGGGTAGTTAATGTGAAATTCGACTTAGCTGTAGCGTATTTCTTGCAGCACACACACCACCTTGACCTTGGTGACATACCAAATAGTGTAGACAAGATTCTCAATGACTATTCTCTTCTTGAACCACTCACCGGACGGCAGGACATCCTCCTCACCTGTGCCCATCACATCAAACACTCTCTTGACGACGTTGCCGCTGGTGCTCGCCCTGATGCTCTCACTCCTTTTGCTCTACAATATTTGACCATTGACGCCCTAAACAACTTAGCAATTGAGCAATCCAAGTTGCCAGTTATTGTAGGTGAGGACAAAGCCGTGATTTTTGTTGATTTAGCAGGTTGTGTTGTTGCCGTTAGCGTGCCACCAAAGGAAAGCAAGCTAGCTAAGACTCTCAGCGGCCAGGCAAGCATTGTTTCATTGAGTTTGGCAGTGTAGATCTTAGCTGACCTACTTTGCATTATAGGAACAAGGTCAAAAGGCTTTCATCGCTGCAGCTGAGGTAAATGGTGCCTCAGTCATTACCCACTGTGGTCCGATGACTTTCAAAACCTTCCAACGTACACAGCATCTACCCACTCCAACTGCCCTCAGTCCGTTCTCTGTCAAGCCTAACGCCAGTACGCAACTCAACGGCGCGGATAATCGTTACATTGAGGTTCCAGGTATGCTGAATGGTGCTCTGCCATCTCAGGCTGTCGGATTTGGTCGATATGTGGTAAGTGACTCGTGCTGAATCAACTTATGCCTGCCCTTCCATGTGCTTACAAACGTTCCATACCCTTTTCTTTGCCACTTATTGCAGGAATGTTCCAAAGGCATGACAGACACACAAATGGCTCTAGGTCGTAACCGGCAGGGTCACCCCTCCTCTGGCTGGCAACAAGATGACATCAGCCATTACAACCTACCCACCTTGATTCAGATGGGTAAAGAACACGCATATAAGCGTGAGGACCACGCGCAGATTGATTCTGAGCTGTTATGGTATCACAAGCTAGGGCAACTTGTCATCAAGGCATTCATGCTGATTTCTTATGCCTTTGCTGTCAGAGCGCTTCAAGTCATAGTCAAAAAGGGAAATCTAGGGGCAGCTCGTGAAATCAAGGAACTTCCAAACCCACTTGGAATTGGTAAGTTTAGTCTACCTCCTGTTCTTCTCATTGAAATCAAAGTGCAATCGCTAACACTGTTCACAGGTAGGCACACGATGTACAGCATGCAGGTCAACCATCACCGAGATGGAAAGAACGCACCTCTCTTCGCCTCCGCTATTTTTTTTGGCAAGAACTATGGGGGTGGCGAATTGATGTTAAATTATCTTGGCTATGCAGTTCATGGTGGTCCTGGGAATTCAGTCCACGCCGCCTTCGATGTCCTAATGCACGGTGTAGGTAAAATCACCTGTCTTCCTAACGCTGAAGGCCTGCCACCTCAGCGTATCTGTATGGCAGTCTACAGCCATGCAGATGTGTTTGCCTCCGCTGCACGCTATTCAGGCATGCAACAATCACCAAAGGTCTTCAGCGACCGCCGCCTATGGTCACCCTTTTATCCAGATAACTTCACACTTCAGCAAATCCTTGACATCTTGAAGGCAGAACAGAAACGCCTGGATGGGAAGTATCACGAAGAGGTTTGCATCTACCAAGCGGCAAAGAAGGCAGCAGAGGAAGCGGCCGAAAAGGCAAGTGCACTTGCCGCCCTAACAAATTGTCGGCTTCCCTTGGAGATGGATATGTATGAAGATTTTATTTAAGAACGGTTTTATTACCGGATGTTTGGAGCTCAAGCTTGCATTTAGGATGGGTTCTTTATGGTCTGCTCTCAGCCTCCTTCTGAGATGCATATGTATGTTTGATAGAAATTTTGTTAGGGTTTTGTTGATCATGGTCATTTTTCAGTTTTGTTTGTCAAAGCCTGCCTGTCATTCCCTTTCTTTTTTGTTTGACTTCATGAAAGGTTCTTGTTTGACTTCATGAATGGTTCACATTTTGTGGGACTACTTGAGTACTCCCAATTCTCAAATAAAACCATGACTCCAACCAATACATGACCTAACCTCTAGTGTGGTAAACTCAAAGGTGGGACATGAAAAACTTACAACCTTTACGCTACACAATTTCAAAGCTTTACCTTATACCTTGAAGATGTCGAGAAATAAATTTGACAACAAAGCATAAAAAACTTCGACCACAAGGAAAGACAATAAACTGGTGAGATATAATAATATGCATTTTATCAAAGCATAAATTAAGGCCGTTGCTATTTGCAGCCCACATGAAATCCATGTAGGTGCTGTCCAAAATACGCCTACATGGATGTTTTTGGCCGAAAAGCGCCTACATACAGCCTGTAGGCGCTTTTTCCCTTTGCAAATGACGCCTACAGGCTGGAAAACCAATGTAGGCGTCATTTGTATACGCCTACATTCTATTTTTAGAATGTAGGCGTCATTTTTATACGCCTACATTCTAAAAATAGAATGTAGGCGCTTATAAATAGCGCCTACATTCTATTTAGGGTATGTAGGCGCTATTTATAAACGCCTACATGGAAAAACCAATGTGGGCGCTCACAAAAAGCGCCTACATTCCCCAAAAAAGATGTAGGCGCTTTTTTCGTGCGCCTACATTCCCCCCTTTTTATGTAGGCGCTGCCAAATGACCCCGTGCCAAGTAGGCGCTTTGAAATTACGCCTACATGGTTACTAGGGCATGTAGGCGTAATTTCAAAGCGCTTACATAATTTTTTCCGCCCAAATCAGCGCCTACATCCAGTCTTGCAAATGTAGGCGCTACAAATGGGGCTTCATAACCCGTCAGCCGGGTAATAAAGCCCCATTTTGATGTCAAAAACGCAGATTGGACTCGAAATGAGAGAACCAGAGGACGGAAAAAGCAGTTTCGACTCGAAATGAGAGAACCGAAGGACGGAAAAAGCAGTTTCGACTCGAAATGAGAGAACCGAAGGACGGAACAAGCAGTTTCGACTCAAAATGAGAGAACCGAAGGACGGAATACACCAAAAACGCAGTTTTGACTCGAAATGAGTGCACCTGCACTCATGGACGGAAAAATAATGTAATGTCATTGTATTTGAACTTTAATACAATCTTCTCATCTCAACATGAAGGGTAAATAGATGGTTTGTATATAGCTACCTCATATATATCAATCAAGTTTGACCAAAAAAAAGAATTCTGAAATTATTACACAAAAAAAATTTACAAATTATTCAATAACAATAACTTTTCGTCTTTTAGAACTTCTGGTGGTAACTCCTTCTTTTAATTCCTTCAATTTCTCTATTTCCTCCATCTTTCTGTCCCATAAAGCAAAACATTCTTTGAGGAAACCATCATTCGTCCACCCAGCAGCATTTCTTCCAGCCATTGAAAGCCAAGTTTTATGCTGATCTTTCCATAGAGAAGGGTTTGGAAAAGGTGA